CCCCCCCCCAATCAGACCTCCAGCTCCCCTCAACCAGGAAACCACCCGCCCAGGAACCAGCAGTTCGGCATGCTTCCTCTCTGCCCGCACCCTGAGGGTCTCTGATTAAGCTGCTCTAAGCTCCCAGGAGCCTGGGCTCCTATGGCAGCTTTTCACGGGGGCGTCCAGCATGGCAGGACCCTGTGCGAGCGCCTGCTGCCGAGCAGCGGTCTCACCCAGGAGCAAGACACGGAGCTCCTCCCTGGACGAACAAGTCGCAGCCACTGTCCTACTGAGCATGGGGTACAGACTTGGGAGAGTGGCCATCTCCTCCGGTCCCCATTTCTAAGCAGCCACAAGGTTTATCTCCATGTAGCAGATGGGGTAAGCGAGCAATTCCGGCTTGTGGGGAGCAGACTCCCGCTTCTAGCCGCAGACCCAGAAACCCACTTTTTCATGGCAGGGCTCCAAGGGTCCTAGACATGAGAGAGGCCAGCGGAGGACATGTCCACCCTGGGAATCACGCAGTCACAAGGCAGAATAAACTTCCTCCGTGTCTCTTCAGCCATCCTGACCCCCGGAGTCATGGGATCACACTGCCCCCACCCCAGGCATCTACAGCTGAGCTGGGGAGACAGGGCAGGTGAGGGGAGAGATGGGCCATGGAGCCACAGCTCTACTGCTGGGCAGCCCCGCCCTTCCACCGAGAATGAGCTCCTAAACCAACAGCACGGCCCCTGCCTCACGCATGTCTCATGCCCCTCCCCCGGAGATGCTCTCTACAATGCCCATGGGCAGCATCCAGGCCTGCGACAGAGGCTGAGGCAAATCTGCACGAGAGCAGGGGGCCCGCTGCACGCACTTGGGGCGAAAGGCCAAGGCCCCATGCTGTAGACCAGGACTGCAGCTGCCAACCAACCCATGACTCCGTGAGCTCTCTGCGTGGGGTGACAGGCCCTAGGACGCGCCCAGGGGTTAGCTTCCTCAGAGGGGGTCCTTAGCACCTCTACAGAGACTTGCCTGCCACAGGCCTAGAGATCTGGAGCCCAGGGACCCTCAGTTCTGCTTTTGACCCCAGGAGTCACTGTCCCTGAGGCTCTCTGTGCCTCAGTTACCCTATCTATAAGACGGCCACAGCTGGCTTCAGTCGGCCTTCCTCTCAGGCCTCAAATAAAACAGAATCCCAAAACAGAGGGGGAGGGGGGTGGCGGCTCCTTCAAGCATAGGCCAGAGAGGCTGCAGTGTATGGCTAACTAAAAACAAACTGAAAGGGAAACACCTACCCACCCCACCCCACCCCCAGGAGCCGATTCCAGGCTGAACAGCAGGCTGTGAGCAAACTGCAGATGCCGGGGGCCCAAGTACCATCGCTGGCCTGGTAGGGAGGGGGCTGCACACCTGCGCCTGGACCAGGACACCCACTTTTCTCGCTCAATCTGCCAGACCGCTGCTGCCGCCAAGGACCCCCGAGCCACTTGGCTTCACTTACGGGAACCCTGGAGCCAGCAGCCCCTCCCTGGGCAGCCACCAACAGGTCCCCTAGACAAGGCTTGACTCCCAACGATCTGGTGGCTGCCGCAGGACCCTTCCCTGTCCTAGTTCCAAGTGGCTCCAGCTTGGCGAGGGACAGTCAGCTCACCACCCAGAGACACTTACTTGCCAATACCCCCAGACCTGGCCCTCCTCAGACAACCTGCCAGGGGCCTGGGGGCCCAGGGCCCTCTCACAGGGACATCATGGTCCGCCTTCCCCATCCGCTAGCTGAGCTTTCCCGACCCTGCCTGGTCCCTGGCTTGGAACAAGGCCCCATGGGGCAGCAGCCTTCGGGCTGGGATGGCTCTTCCCATGGGGTCTCTGGGGTCCCGTGGCCCCTAGGCAGGAGCTGGACGGCGATGGCTGAGGCTGCCACCCCGGCCTTGCCCTCACATGAGCCGGTTAATTACCGCGGAGCCGGGAGACATTCTTCCACCACCAGGCAAACTGCTGGCCTGCAGCCCAAACCAACAGGGGGAAACTTCAGCCTGCACAGCCCCACTCCCTGCCAGATGGAAAAGGCTGCATTGGGGGAGGTGGGGGACTGGAACAAAAACCCGGCCGTCGGAGGAGCCGGGGCGGAACCCCAAGGGGACCGGGGAAGCCGGGGGCCCCCACTCACCGCTCTCATTCTTCTCGATGATATCCACCACCTCCCCGGCCTGGAGGCTCAGCTCCGAGTTCTCCTGCTTCTTATAGTTGGACACCACCACGTACTGCTCCAGGATCATGGGCTCGGCGTTGCTGTCGGCACCTGGTGAGGGCAGAAAGCACGCGGTGAGCCAGCGGCCAGCCGTGGCGCCGCGGCCGGGGCGCCCTCTGTCCATCGGCCTCGGAGGAGGCTGCTCGGTCGCCAGCGCTGCTCCAGGGCTCGCAGCTCGCCGGGCCCCAAGGACAGGCCATATAGCAAGGCCCCACACCGGCCCGCTGCGCTGCAGGCTCCACGGCCCATGGGGAGCCAGGGGGCCCGGGGAGGAGCAGGGGCAAGCCGGGGGAACAGAGGCAGAGACGCAGCAAGGCCCAGGGCTCAGAGGCGGCAGCCCGTGGCTGCGATGTGTTCGTCACAGCCCTGCATGGGGGAGTCCAAGGCCTGGGCCGGACGCCGTGGCTGCAGGCTCCACGGCCGCCGGCTGGGGCGCGAGGGGAGGGCCGGGAGCTGGTGGGCGGCCCATGAGGGCTGGGGCCAGAGAGGAGGAAAGGGAGAGGGGAAAGGCAGGGAGAGAGGGGAGGGCTCCGGCCTCTACCCCAACCCTTGTACACCAATCCCCCACCCCCCAGGAAAATAAAAAGAGCCAGCAGCCCTCCCCTTGGGAGGGTGAGAGAGCGCGGGATGGAGCTGCTGCAAAGCCCAGGCCCGGCGAGAAGTCGAGAGGGTTTGAGGCTGCCAATCACTGGGGTTTACTCTCAACCCTTAAATAGAAACACATGAGACCCGTCGAATGAGGAGCCGGGGGTGGAGGCAGGGGAGGGGGAGGAGGGCCAAGACTGTTTACTTGAAACCCAAGAAGATGTCCCAGCACCAGCCGCTGGCCAGCCCGGCGCCCCCCCTCTCCCCAACTTTCCTCACGTTCGGCTCCGTTTCTGCCCCCCTACTCACCAGCAAGCAGAGCAGCCAGCGAGGTTGGCCTGGGCAGTTGGGCCAGCCTGGGGCCCGCTCACCCAGCCCAGAGGGGGTGTGATCCAGCCTGGCTCCTGCCCTCTGGCCATGCAGCCAGACTCATTCTCCCTCTGTGGGAGCTTGTGGTCCCACAGCCTCCAGCTCTTTTGAGGCCCTGGAGGGGTCTGAAGCTGGGAAGTGGCAGAGAGAGGAGACAGGTGGGTCCGAGGACTCCAGAAATAGGGTACTTCCCCACCGGAGGATGACGAAGACACTCAGCGAGCTGAAAGTTGGACAGACAGGCTGGGTGCCCAACTAAGCCAACTGGCGGGATAAAACTGGACACACTGCCCGCAGCCCCCCTGCCCTCCAGCTGTCCCCTCACCATCTTTAGGATGGGGGAAGGGAAGGAACACCTGTGCAATGAGGACCCACGCACCAGAGACCCACTGCCACCTCCTCCAGGAAGCCTTCCTAGAGCACCTCCAGCCCGAAGGGAACTTCTAGTGCATTTTTAAAACTTGGCCTGCCACTCCCCCGGAACGGAGGGGCCACATAAACCAGCTTAGCTGTAAAAACAGCCGAGAGGGTCTCCAGACTCAACATGGCCCGTGGTGCCTTAGCCTGCAGCCACATTCCCTACATGCCTGGGTCTGATTCGGTCCAGCGTCATGTCCCAGACAGGCACGCACACAACGCCCCCATCTCAGGCTCTGGCTTACAAAAGGCAAACTGGGGAACTCAGAGGGCCAGAGGCTGGCCCCAGCTCACACCGCTGGCATGGCGAGGGCCACATCTGTTCATGGTGGAGGTTCAAGCCCATCTCTTTCCACGACGGAAGACAGGCTCTTTCTACTCACACACTGATTCAAACGACATAGTGCGGGGGAGGGGTGGGGTGCACCACATGCCTAGAGGCCTGATTTCATGCACCTGGGTGGGGTTCAACCATGGGCATCTGTCGCAGGTGAAAAAGCACTGCTTGGGATTTGGGCTCTTCCACAGGGGAGGGCTCCATCCAGCCCAGGGCAGAGGGAGGTGGGAATGCTGGGAGATGCCAGGGGAAGAGGCTTTCCCTCCGGGAGGGAAAGGAACGGCAGGTGGGCCGCACGGAGACGCATGTGTGCAGCCCTGGGCTGCCCCTCGGGGCCAGGATTGTATTTCAGGCACAGGCTCAACCAACAGCTGAGACAGGGCCAGCCGCCCCTGCTGCGATGAGGATTCGGCCAGCTCCTGAGCCCACCCCCTGGCAGCCGGACAGCAGCCTCACGGGGCACCTTGCTGACAGAGACTACCTCCCACTGTGTCGGGGTGGGGTGGGAGGGGGTGGTGGTCAGCGCCCATCCTGGGGGGCCTTGGCCAGGCAGCACGGAGCTTGTGTCGTCTGTGGCCAGGAGCACTTACATGCACTCAGCACCCAAGAGGGGCAGGGGGGCTCCCTTCCCTGTTAGGGGGGCACGTTACTGGATGAGGAAAATGCTGGAGGGAAACTCAGGATACAGAGAGGAGAAGGAGGAGGGAGGAGTTCCCCAGCAAGCTGGAGCATTCCCAAAGCCCGAGCGCCCAGCTTACTGGAGGGGGAGCAGCGTAAGCCTTAGTGATGAGTGCTTTTTCATTTTTAACCACCCGGCCCCTCCATCTTCACAACTAGGCTGCGAGGCTAGGCCTGGGGATCAGCCACTTCCCTGAGGGCGCACAGCTGGGATGTAAGCGGGCCAAAGCTGGATCCCAAGTCCACCTAACCTGTGCCTGGCACCCCGTCGGCGTGCAATGGATTGTGGGTCCCCGGTTGGCGGCTGCTCGTCCACTGGCCTCTTAGGTGGGAGACACTCTGAGTGGTTTGTGGAATCGATGAATGGAATGAGTGGGCGGACAGAGGAGCTGGGTGATTTCATGGTTCGTTTTTTAGCTGACACTGATACTCTGGGCAGGCAAGGGCCTCACCTCTGGAAAAACGAGGCGTCTAGACGTCTGAACCGGAGAGGAGCAAGGCTCAGAGGAAGGGGTGTGTGTGTGTGTGTGGGGGGGATGGTGTTAGGGAAACGGAGGCAAGGAGCAGTGAGGATTATGGGTTTGTGGCCAGGAGATGTGGGAGGGAGGTGGTAGGGGCTGGAGGATCATCGGCTCATGCCAATCCAAGCCAAGCCAGTTGTAGGCAAGATTTCCTACACGAGGCTTCTTGGAAAATGGGCCTGAGCCTTAGGGACACAGGTAGAGAAGTTAAAGAGAAAGTTCTCCTGGGTGACAGAGGCCAGGCAAGGTGGGGGGTGGGGGCCGGTAGCAGGCCAGACAGGCGGCCCTCTCCTTCACCCCACCCCAACCCCCGGCAGGCAGGTCTCCCTTGGTATCTGCTTCCTCGGGTGTTGTCTGCCCTGAGCTGCCCAGGAGGGCGGCGGGATCTGGGAGCAGGTATCCAGAGGAGAAACCACTCCGCAGGCAGCAGGCAGTGAGGTCATCCCACAGAGCTGCTCTGGCTCCCCTCCCAGCCAAGGCCTGGAAAATTGGGGGCTGAGGAGTCAGCCTGGGAGAGCTGGAGGGGATGGTGAGAAAGGATTGGAAAAAGCACAGAGAAAGGGTTTCTCCTTTCCAGAGAGGAGAGCTCCTCCCAGGCTTGAAAGAGGCTTTGCAAGAGTTTGGGTGTTGTTCAGGGGTGGCCCCTGTGCCTAGGGTAGAGGTGACACCGCCCCCGCCCCCCCCACCTGCCCGGGTAGGTATGAGCCTGGAGCCACATGTGTCCCCAGAGCCCTGCCCCTCCTGGCATCACACCTGGTATTCCCCCACCTTCCACCTGGACGGTCCTCCCGACTCCTGCCAGATCCTGGCTGCCAAGAAAAAACGTCCACGTTTAGCTTTTGCAAAGGCTCCTCAGGCCCAGTGTGAGTTCCCTTACATTCCCTGACACCTAAGTCCGCCCTGTGATTCAGGTCACATTCCTGGACCCACACTCAATTTTCAAGCACCAACGAGGTACAGCCACCTATGCAGGTTCTTGCTTCCACTCCTTCGCACTGGCTCCGCCCTCTGTCTGGAACACCTTCCTGTCTTCTCTCGGAGACGCGTCCCTAACCAATCATCTCTACCCTCTGGGTTCCAGGAGGTCCCCTGATCACCCAAACTTGGATTTCCTGCTGGGCACGGGGCCTTTCTCTCACCATGTACTTCAGACAAGAGCCAGAGCTGAGCGCGGCAGGGCTGCCACAAACTGCCATGGCCCCGCGCTCCCGATGCACGTGTCCAGGGTGCAGCAAAGAAGGGCGCGCCGAGATTAGAGTCGGGGGGCTCTAGAGTATGAGGGCCAGTCCTGCTTTGGTCCCTGCTAAGCGGTGGGGTCCCGGGAGGGAAGGCTGGTAGTAGCCTTTCTCTGAGTGTTAGCTTCCTTATCTGTCATCAGGATTGGTTCCTACCTCCTTGTGGGGGGGCAGGTCTGAGCGTGGAACGAGGGGGTGGAACGAGGGGGTGGATTGATGCCCTGGGAGCTTATAAAATGTCTTTAGGAGTTTATAAAGCAAACAGAGGAAATGGGGGATTTGGAGAGGAGCTGGACAGCTTCATGGGGCTCCACGGCCTCAGAACGAGGCAGCTCAGGCAAGGGCTACAGGTGCCAAACGGGGTGGGGATGGGACCCAGGTGCCCATGGCCTGCAGCTCGTTCCCTCAGCATCCTCCTCCAGACGGGTGGGTCTCAGCCCCTTCTCTTGGCTCTCCAACATTCCAGACGGGGAAACCAAGGCCCACAGGGGCCGGATGACTTGTGTGAGACATGAGCCCTGGTCTCCCGACCCGCCAGCCCCCCACCCCAGCCCATGCTGCCTCCTCTGAGCCTCCTGCTCCCAACAGCTGGGCCCATCCTGAGAAATCAAGCCCTGCGGTCGCCTCTGCCCCCGCCTCCCCACGCTCTCCATGACCCACCACCCCCTCCAAACCCGGGCAATCCACCAAGGTCTCTCCTGCAGATTCAGGATCCTCCCAGGCTGGGCAGGGCCTGCAGTCCGCTCCATAGGCCCCAGGCGGCCCAGCTATACGTCTAGTGAATAAAATGTGTCCTGTGAGCCAAGCGGGCTCCTCACACTGGCTCGTGGAAAGTGGAAAAAGGACCAGGAAGGAGGCCAGTGATTAGCTCAGGCCCAGACCCGGTCACAGGGACACTGGGAGAAGGCCTGCAGGGGGAGGAAGGGGCTCCCCTCCTGGCGTGTCTCCTCCTCCCGTTCTCTGGCCACAGCTGCGGTGGGGAGGGGCTGACTCCTGACCATTCAGCCTTGTCCCCCCCAGCCCTGTCTGAACCTCTGCTCTCACTCACTTGCTGGGTCTAGGGCCTTGGGGCTGGGGAGACTGTGGACAAGCCTGGAGGCCCACCCAATTCCCAGGCTCCCCAACCCTCATCTAGCAGCTCCAAAGAAAGCTCTCTTGGTTTCTCTGTTATTATCCAGCGAGGCACAGCCGAAAGGCCAGCTCTGACCTCTGGCCCAGCTCTGTCCAAGCCCCTAAGTCCCGGAGGACCGGCCCCAGCCAGCAGGCTGGGCCAGAGGCCCCTCTGGGACAACTCCAAGCCCCGATGCCTGGGATGAGGGGGCTGTGACCCAGGCCTCCTGTGCGTCCTGCCCCTATTCAGCACTCAGGGACTTAATCTCTCTGCCTCAGTTCAAACTCTGGAAAAGCAGATAGAGAATCTTTGGCTGGCCTATCTCAGAGGATGGCCCACTGAGATAAAACAACAACATGGTAAAGTTCCCAGCAGATAGCAGGATGAGAGCACCCCCACCCCCCCACCCCCGCCCTGACCAACTTCCCTGGAGGGAAGCATGTATCTACATTGTACAGATTCGGAAGCTAAGGCCTAGTGGGGTTAAAGAGCTGGCCCAGAGGTGGGCTTGGCAGAGCCGGGGTTCTAAGTCACGCCCTGGGGGTCCAGGGCACACACCCACCCTCAATAGAAGGCTTCGGGGCTTGGCGTGAGACCCAAATGACGTGGCCCAGGAAGGCAGAGGGTGCCGTGAGCTGAAGGGTCTAAGGAGGGTAGGGAAAGGGCTGCCACGCATCACAAGGAAACATGCTGTGGGGAGCAGCCAGCGGCACTGGTTCCTGCATGCCTGGGACACACATGTTCAGACACAGGCGCTCACATGCACAGTGGCCAGTACCTGTCACGTCCTTCTTGGGAGACTCAGTCCAGCTGGACAGCCACACTTCCGAGTCCCCCCGGGAGAAGCAGCGGCAGAAGAAGAATCAAGGAGAAAGAACCGTTAGGCAGGCAGGAGGTCCACCAGCGGCCAGCAGCGGGCTGCGGAAGGCGGGGGAGGGGAGGGAGCGATTTCCTGGCCCTGGGCTGGCGGCAGGGCTGGGGCTGGGCGTGGGCTTGTGTGATTACAGAGACTGGGACAGGGATAATGAGGTGTCTGTCGAAACACAGGAACCCTCTGGGGCCCAGAGAGTCCTCTACCTCCCTCTCCATCTGGAACAGGGCGGGG